ATTAAATGGTTTTTCATTGAATTTTACGAGTAATGAATATGACCAATTAGATTAACAGTTGACCTGTCATTAGGAAATTCTCGGTGAGTGCCCACTCACTACCCACAGCCAATAATACTCTAGTTCAGGGCAAGTAATGCACAAGCTGTTCCTCCTGCCATCAGCAGTGTTACAGTAAAAAAACAAATACTTTAGTTCAGAAAGTATAATAATTTAGAAAGGCAATGAACACTATTAAATACGAATGTACCTAACCTACAACTTCCTAAAATAACAATCTTGTCGTAATCCTGAACTGAACTATCGATGCTCGTAATCTACATAGGTTCATAATTATTAAAAGTATACTTTTATCCTCATCCAGATTCTCTAGGCGAAACTAGTGAATTGTGAATTAATAATTATTTCTTCTGTACAACGATTTATAACGCAATATTATATTAATTATTGGTTCATCAAGAAACAATGATGTACGCACTTTTTAGTATAAAACATCGACATTTAATTATATATATTTAAATCAAAAATTGCAATCACCGAAAGTTTGATCAGCGCAACTATTATTCAACAAAACGAAAGTAGGATTATAGAAGTATGATAGAAGAATCATAGTAATTAAAAAATGACGATGCAATAAAATTTTAAGTCATCAGAGCATAAAATAATAAATATACGACCAGTGCAACGCATATAGGAACACGCGATAACAAATTGTATGACAACATATTATAATATTAAGTTTCAAACCACTGAGTTCCACTATATTATTTTTGTTTTACATTTTTTTAAATTTTATTCAAACTGAATTGAGCTTTTATCATTGCATTCGAAAAGCGATTTCGAGGAAAGTCTGTCCGCCTATTATTCATTATTCTATGTTTATTTTATAATAAACTTGTATTGCTATTATAGTAATTTATTTTACAGTTAGTAAGTTAAAACAATTTTTGTCAAAAACACTGCATTTTTTATATTATGATTTATGAACAATTCATAATTAAAATAGTATTTTATATTTATATCATACATTCTTGTTATTATGACTTGCCGTAGAACGGTGAAATGTTTTGAAAATGTCATTGTGTATTTATAATTAACTTTAGTTTAAATAAATTTTTTAACAGTATCCACGATATTAGTATGTACAAATGACCCTCATAAGTCGTCATTAAATGTTATAAGTCATATAGAAATGTGGATTAATTTTTTTTAGTAAGTCAATAAATTATTTATTTTATAAAAAGACATAATTACGAAAGCACCTATGTTATTAATTGTACCTATTAATGATTGTAATAAATGACAAATGATAAACATGTTAATATTTAAATGATTGATATTATGTCTACTTAAAGACTCTTCTTTATAGTTAATTCTTGAAAGAAGTGTATACCTAGATAATGTGGTTAAGAATAATAAATATTGTGTTTTAGTGGTGAAACTTGTTTAAAAATCTATAAAATGTGTTTCCTAAACGAGATTTCTTTGAATGATAACCATGCCTATTTCATTAGTCAGAAAGTTCTCCAGTTTGATTCCGGCATGTGAGTGTATACACAGTAAGCGTCGTAAAAGAAAATAGCGAAAGCGGTTTTAGTACTCCAAAAATATATTTTTTAAACTGATATAGGTATTCCGTTTTTGATGATTTAGGGAACACAAACTTACATATAGTGTTGGACATTTCTTAGTGATAATATTAAATCTTCTGCTAGTTCTAGGTATCTTGATTAGGGAAAATTGTTAGTTCTATTAATCCGATAATTTTTTTAGTGAAATATTATATCTACTATATTGCGAGTAAAGATTTTGTAAATACTCAATAGTTTGGAAAAAATCGAAGTATCTAATTTCTTGAGATTGCAATCCTATAAATGATGATTGTAGATTTTACTTTTCGTGTGTAAATTCAATAATATGGAGTGAACACACAATAAAGTACTTAGAAAACAAAATAATATAACACTGGCAAATGGCATACACATCGACATCGTATGCGATCGTGTTTGCGTGCAATGTTATACTTACCTATAAAATTGAAATAAATTCGTTCGATCATTATCATATTATAATGTTATGCGCTATCAAATGTAGTAGCACATACATATACTATAATATGTATATTTTTTTACACTCAAGATAACTTAACAAACTTAACACGAACAGTATATTGAAAACACTTTCACTGGCTTCGAGGAATAATGACAGAGAATAATTAATAATCAGTAATAGAAATAATTATTCAATAGATTCATAAAAATATCATCTAAGTTCTAGGACATTAATAATTACGATTTTCCATTATGTGCGCTTAAGACACTCATCGTGTTTTCACCGGTGTGTGTGTGTGTGTGTGTGTGTAGGTACAGTGTAATTGCGTCACGTGGGACATTATAAGCTCATCCACCGAACTTGAACAATCGATTAAAACATTTTATCTATGGGTGTAAGATTAATGTTCATCAATTAAGACGAACAATATGCGTATGATTGCCGAACAATAAAATCAATTTGTACCTATTGAGCTCTAGAGAACGCCTGCGTAATATTATGAATAAAATATACTACGCGTATATGAGAAATGCAGGAAGTAATAAATACAAATTACTCTGTGTGAAGATGTTACACAATTTTAGTAAACACAGTTTACTATTAAAAAAAAACCGGATCTATACCGCACGGGTGTACGACGTATTGAAGCAAGATTATATAGGTAACGTCTCCAAACTGTCTTCCTATACCCACGAATATATAATACGAAAAAATTTCAAAAATATTTTTTTATTCAACACTTATCTAACGATTATAATATGAACCACTAGTAAGAGCCAATATTTTTTACTCAAAAAACTACTTAACTATACTTAACTAATTATGTCATAACGCGACATAATAAATTTGTGTTGAGCAGAACCCAACTTCGTGTTGTTAGCTTGAGTATGTAATATTAAAGTTATAAGAGTTATTATCCAAATTAAATGTTAAGTCCATTATACATATTTGAGCCTTGGATTTTGAACGATTTTCCATTTTCCACTATACATGAGCATTTTTAAACTGTTATAATATTTTACATAGTCACAACTTGCATATAAATTGAAATATCGTAAGCTCAAATACAACTACCGAGATATTGTTCTTAACTTTAAATTTGATGATAAATCAACAAAATAAACTCTTATATTAAATCTATCATCTCACCAAATTGATTCTGCTAAACTCACATATTTTTTCATGTTCCACATGGACGTGGGTCAGTGGTATAGAAAACAAATAGAAAGCATCTTAGATAAATACAAATTTAAAGGATTCTATAATGAGTAGAGTGGCCTTAAAAATATGCCAATGTCCGTGGTAGTTTTTATCGTTGGTTGAATTTTGTATATGATTCAGTATAGCTTTAACATTTCAGAATTCGGACTTCATATTAAGCGTATCACAAAAAAAATTATGTCCAATACAGTAACACGAATTGACAGAAGTATAAGTAGCTGGTGAAAAACCGTTTTATTGGTAGACAATAACATTGAGTATAAATAAATTGTATTGTATATTATACTCAATAGTTGGTGGCAATAGTTATAAAGTCGACAGACCAGCCTCGGCGATCACTTAATGAAGATCGCCATCTATTGGCAACAGTTAGTGTAACCGCAGTGACCTCTAGTCCGTTACCTGTCATGTCCACTGGGCCGCGTGTTATAATTGTATAAAAAGAACAGTCAACGAGTTGTACCTATATGAGAGTGGACAGAAATTGTCTGAAATAGTTAGATGTCCGGTAAAATATTATCCAGTAAAATATACGTATTTGCCGTGTTTGATCACGAATACGTAGACACAAATACGTCATATTATAATAATGTAGCAATATATTATTATATTATATCGTTACCATTTATCAGGATTTAGTATGATTTGAATTAAATGTAAACCTAGTTTTCTTCTTATATTTTTAATAATTCATCTCTTATTCTTCATAGAGTATTATAAAAACTAATCATAATAGAATACATCTTTTAAATATCCATAGCATTTAGTAGGCCATATTTCCGTTTTTATCGAATGTTTATGTATGTGTGTACGTATAATTGTATGCAACTTGCATGTATGTATCTAAAACCATAATATATTGTTACATTTACAGTTATTCAATTTAAGATCACAACACATATGGAACACACCATTAGTAGTACCTACAATAGTACCCAAACTCCAAAATCAGCAAATTATTTTTATTTCAAATAAATTCTGATATGAGAATCTCTATATTTTTGTATGTTAACTTGTACATTTCAACATATAATTGGTTACGTGTCTATTTACCTATATAATATTATACTTAAATATTAATGTTGGTCACGGTATCAATACGGTCTGAGGGGCTGTCAAAAACGTTGCTTCTAAAATATAATACTATTTATTCAGAAATACTTTATATTATTAGAGGATATAGAGGTAAATTAATTATTTAAACCAATCACTACGAAACAAATTGATTTCAGAGTGCCTACTCAAAATACTTGATATCTAAAACTGATGACACAACTCGAGTGCTTGCCGAGTATCTGCTGTCAAAATATTTTAATGTTAACTTTATAAACAATAGATTCCATACGTACTTTAGGTTCCTACGAACTTGGTCTGTTACAGTGAGTTGTTACAAAAGTATTATGACTTATTCGGCGTGGAATAATCTGAACCTAACATACTATGTTGGAAAATTAATCGGTTTCTTTCCGTTTGCTGGAAACCACAAGAACTTATCTTTTTTGTATTCATTAGTTGTATGGATATCATTAGGTTTCACTAGTTTTTTAATGAATACTGAAATATCCAACAATTCTAGTAAAATACCACAAGCACAGAGATTATTAAAATGTGTAAATTATTTTATTAATTTCATCACGTATATAATAATATGTTAAATATTAAATTAAAATTGATGATTAACTACCATAGAATATCTAATTTCAGGTTATTTTATTCGAGACATACGTTAACTCAATCGTGTCGGCTATTAACGTAGCACTTTCGGCGTGTAGGAGTAAACAATTTTTTAAAATACTTGATTCATTTTATCAATTTGACAAATTTACACTACAAATGCAATGCCCGTCGAACCATAAGGCACAACAATTTTACTTAGTATTCGTCTTACTCGTTGGGACTTACCATGTATCTGTCATGACGTTTTTTTTACACAATAGTTTTTTCGTAATATTTATGTGGAGTTTGGTCTGTTTGTTGACAATGATAGCAGTATCACAATATATTATATGTATTAGAATGTTAAGTGACAGATACAAACTGGCCAACATTGTATTTGAAAACAGTAAGTACCTATTCAAATGTAATATTATTTAACGGTTTACCGAACACGGAGACCATCTAAAATATCCACTGACATTTTATCAGGAGAGCGTTACACTTATAATTTTATTAAGTCTGACCTGACCAACGATAATGACCATAATCATCATCTATGATGGATACAGTAATATATAGTCATAAACACACTACTCACAACGCTATTATAAGCTGCATTCAAATAAAATAAAATTTTGATTATAGTTGAAATAAATATAAATACCAGTTATCACTTTATAAGCACTGTAAACTCTGCATTATCCGTGGTCTTCCTTGGAACTATATATAGTACAAAGTGTTCATATGTACAATATAATATATATTTGTGAACAAATAAATGTAAATGTTATTTTTTTGAAGCCTAAGAAAATTGAGTACACTTACTTTCTTGACATACCAATTAATTTAATGTTTAAATAAAAATACAATGTGTACTTACTTATCAAATTTGTATTTAAATACTATTATTTAATATTACCTAATATAATTTTTAATGATATAAAAATAGAATTTTCGATTTAAGTTTTGGATTAACCCTGGCTTATCCATGGTCAGCGTCCGTCTCACCCTGTTCCGAAGATAATCGAGAGTTTACTATATAAGTACCTTAAATTAATCAAACGATACATAAATTGTCTGCACTATAAAATGCAAAACATTGAATCAATATAAAATTTAGATAGATATGTTTATTATATGTAAGTAACTAAAATAAACTAATTTAATAATTGCACACAATATGTTAGCTTGCACTTCAGACTAACAACGATACATTTTAACAGTATTTTAAATGTACACTGAATAAAAATGAATATCCTTTCTTAATTATGTAAGTTCAACAGTCTCTTTAAATTTGGTTTACAACAATAATAATTGAGAAAAAACGCTTAATTTTGGGTTATTTTTAGGTATTAGCCATCAAACTAAAACTGAAAAATGTTTGTATCCAACCGAAATACACAATTTATTTATCAAACTACGGAATTTGACAGAGGAAGTAAAAACATACTACGGTTTTCACGCATTATTTATTATTATCGAATCAGTTTTACTCATTGCTTCAAACGTAACAAAATTAGCATTTAACTACACGAACAATATTGACACATTATTCGCGTATAACAAATTGCTTTTAATTTTTTGTATTTTGAAGATGATATTTATATTTTTCATAGTTCGAGAAGCGCATAATACAATAAAAGAAGTAAGTTTTAAAATGTATTTATTATTTAGTTATTCATATTACACAATTATTAAATTATTTTAAATAAAATATAAAAAACTTAAATTTAAATTGTCATACAATTTGAAAAATGCAATCCCATTTTATACTAGTTATAAAAAAATCACCATTAGTCCAGATAATTGAAATATTTAAGATATATATTTTTTTTTAATGTAGTACCTAATTGTACAATCATTAAAGTTATTTTTCACAGTAAGCAAAAGTGATGTTTGGATTTATAGAAATACTAGAAAAAAAATATATTTAATTAATTTAATTAATTAGGTAAATAAAATAAAATTCTGGACAGGAGGCTTGTGGAAAGTGGCTATTCATCGATGGAAATTCTTAATATGAAATGGTGGGAGTTAGTCAATTAGTAGATCACGACACCACGTTCGTTTTAGTGGCCTTCTGGGGTCAAATATTTTAGATATGGACTAAAATGTATATAGTTATTAAGTTAAAATATTTTAAATTACCTTTAATAAATTGAAATTTTTAAAATAAAAAGTCATATATATTATATAATTTGTTATCAAATAAATTAAGTAATATAAAAGTCTAATTGTAATTTGAATAAATTTGAATGATTATATAAATAATCAAAGTTATGTTTATAAATAAAATTACTAAGGCTGGTACTTTGATGCATTCTGCATTATTTTACAAAGTTAACTATACAATGCACTAGTTTTATAACATAAATACGTTTCATGTATTTTTGAACCAAAATTAGAGGTTTATTATTTTTTTGTCAACTATCAAATTTAAGGTCATTTTAAATTTTTTTAGAGAATTGTGGGCCTTAATAACTTTTAACACTAAAATCCTGTTTTAAAATTGTATTTTAAAATGTTTTACTGAAGTTATAAGTTGTAAGTTTTTTAGAAAAACTACTGGAAAATTCCAATCAATACAAGATTTTCTTAAATTTTGGTATTATTAAAATCCATTCAAAATTTGAAAGAATTAATTTTTAGTAAACCTGTACCACTTATAATTTCTAAATCACAAAAAAAAGTTATTTTACATAAATTAGTTTATTTTTAAAAATTTAAAATTTAAACTTCAAAAGTTATGTATTATTGTGTAAGATGCATGCTTATTTAAACACATTAATTATTAAATCATAAAATTGACAATGAACTATAATTCGTGTTTTTGTTTCAATAATTCAACTTTAAAGTTTATCCCAAGCAAATCATTACAATTATTAATAGGTATCCTAAGATATAATAACACAATTTGTTTTTAAATTTTACAAATTGAATTACAAATTATATCTATGTAAAGTCTGCCCTAGGTTTATTATCCTTATATATTTTTTTAAGATTTTTATTTTCTATGTCCATCTGGATATCCATTTTTATAAAGAATATAAAATGTATTAAACATAGTGAAAGTTTATTAAATTCCTATTACTTCCATGGCATTCATATCAAACTTTTTTTAAATTGTATATGTAAAATGTATATCCCGGTATTGTTACTACATTTTAAAATGTATTATGGGAAATAATTTATGAATCTTATAATAAACTATTGGATGTCAATAATTAATAATTAAATGTTATAATATGTTTATTGTTATAGTCAAAAAAAACTGTTTTGATTGCCCATGATGTACTTCGTACCACAACAAACTCTTGGATTATCAAAGAAGTAAAATATTGATATTTAACTTAGTGGTCTAAATAGTCTAGTCTAATAGCAATTAAAATATTCTAATTTCTATGAAATATTATTCATTGTGCACAGTTTGAGGTGTTCATATTGAATTGTTGGAACAATCCGATTATATTTGATGTGTATGATTTTTTTGATTTGGACTACAAACTACTTCAATCAGTAAGTGTCCTCTCTAAATTTATTTTAAAATAACATAACACTATTAAACATATGAAACTAACTACAAAAGAAAGGGGGAAGTATATTGGTAACAATTCAGCTCTACTTTTTTTTTATTATTTCAGTTATAATAGCTGATGGGGAACTTTGTATTTAATTTAACAAATTTATAGCTATAAAATAATTTGCAACAATTTCGGAAATTTTTCTAAATTCTACGATTAAACAGTTTCAAAGCCCCAAAAAAATATTGTGACCATGTATTTTTGATATTTTTTTATTGATTTATGATCAACTTATAATGTACCTAATCATATTTATAAACTGGTCTTCCGATTGTAGTTAAGTACATACAAAATGTATTTACGCACTCTGCATTCAGTGGAAAAACCGGCTTTTAACCCCAGTCCTCGTGTATTTGTATGACATTTTATACCTTACGCTGTAAAAAATTATATTCCAAAGGTCTCAACTCAAAAAAATACCCCAGGACTAGATCAGCCTTAAAATTAAAAATAATAAAGAGCCTAATACTAGAAAATAATAATACTAAAAAAAATAATAATAATATAATAATAAATATAATAATAATAATAATATCTATAATACTAGAGCCTCTAGCCGCTGCCGACCAGCATAGAGAGTGGTGTTGTGCCATGTGAAACTTATGATTTTTTTATGAATCCTACTTAATGTGTAGTTGCATAATAAGTTTGTAAAATATATATCGGAATTTCAGATTTTGGGAATTGTTTTTAAATTTTATACCAGTTAGACTTATCCCCCCCCCCCCCCGAAAATCTCTTCTGGTTGCATCACTGAGAGTATATTTATATCTTAGAATATAAATTGTATAACCTTGGAACACCCGAATATATTCAACAACAAAAACCCGAAACCTTGCTTTTGAAGGTTTGGCATAGTGTAGCATGGTGTTTTGTATTGAACTTATTACTTTGCGACTTAAGTTTAAATACCTATTACATTTTTTTTAGTAATAATAATTCCTTTTTTTCAGATAATTGCATCCATTGTCACTTATCTTGTAGTTTTGGTTCAAATTCAATTGGCAATAACCAGTCAATAGTTTGAAGAAAAAGAATAGTAATAATTACGTAGTGTGATAGACTTAAAATTAATGTGTTATTATTATCATAGATTTAATTTTTCAAACAATTGCACTTTAGAAAATAGAAATATAATTATACAGCATCAGTATATTTATTGGTTTTAATTATTTCAAACCATACAATTATTTTCCTTCAAAAAAGGTAATTTTATAATTATTAATTAAAAATACATTCCTACCTATAGTATGCCTATACGCTACATACGTATAAAAAACTATTTTAATCATACTAGTAACTGGTTGCTGGTGACTCGAATTTTGAAATTGATCTGTCATTGTGTTAATTTTTAATTTGTAGGATTATACCTGCAATGTGATCGTACACATTTCGCTCGATAAAATTGTACCATTGTTATAATTAATAATAATGAATTATTAAGTATAGTCTACCTTATGCAGAAAGTTTTGAGATTTCTGGCACCACCTCCAAGTGCATGTATTATATACGAACATAAAATGGTCTAAGACAGTGGTTTTCAACCTTTTTTATTCTACATCCCTTGTACATTTTTAAAATTCTTACACTTTCCATCCTCTTTAAATTAAAATTTAGACTATCTTTTTTTTTATTTGAGTGATAAAAAATAACTGTATATAATATATAATTGTTATCGATGGGCGGCCATCTGAAATTAATTTATTGTTTTCAATTTTACAATTATTATGGTATATATATAGAAGTGGTACGGTGACAGATCTGTATCATAATATCTGTACAAAAATAAATGTGTGGTACGATTCTTATAAAAAAGGAGGGCTGTGAATTTTGAATGCAAAGTATAATTTACAGTAAAAATATAACCAACAGGCAAGGAATTTTTTTTAATAGTATAAATAGCTTATTATATTTTAGTAATAATAGTGTATAATATAAAATATTATTATGATAATGATTTGTTTTCCTTTTGGGTCGAAATAGGCGTCTTGTAATCCATCATTCCTATAAGTTAAACAGATAATGTATAATTACATATGTATGTACACACACAATAGTAAAATGCATAATTGTATTAAATTTTAAACAAATTTATTCGATTTATGATAAGCGATTGTGAATTGTGGTAGTAGGTACGGTTGAACGTTTGAAAATAATATGATAAATGATGAAATTGTTGCTATTGCTCATATGTTCATATAGTACACTTTGTGATTACGATTTGCAATTAATTATAAAGTTATCAACTATACTGATGACGTGAATATTGCAAACGCTAATCATTTAAAAATGATAAAAACTCATGCAAGGGTACGGAATAAGTATATCTTAGATAGTGTGCAAAGATTAGCTTTGTTATCATACCACTAATAAAAATAAATAATGTACAGATGAATCTATTAGAAACTTTGACTTTACAAAGTAAATTACACTAGATTATACATGTATACCTACATTTAAAAATATTATAGGTTCGTATACATTTAATACATTATATTAACCTATAGGTACAACGTATCTGTTATTGTTATTATTGAATAAGTAAAGTGGGTCACCAAAATTTTAATTTTCCACATCCTCCTCTAAGGAGAAAATCCTACATAAGCTCTTAAGTAACATGTACATGTACACCTGATATAAGCTACCAATAAAAATTTGAATAACACTTTAATATAACCTATAGCCCATATTCAAAAGGTACTGCAGTATTAATAATGTAAATGACGTATTCCCGTTGGGGTGGCGTATTTACAATAAGCAAATAAAAACGTTAAATAAACCAAAGCAATTTTTTACCACAAAATGTGCTGCAAACATTTCAAAAATGTAATAATACAAAGTAGGTAATGTATACGTAATATATATTCATAGATCTGAAATATTATAGTATAAGTTTTTTATAACATTTTTTTTACAAACTTGTGGTCTCGAAAAAATATACTTTCAGATCATCATTATTATTATATTATTGCAATACTAATATTTTATATTAAAACGAGTAAATGATATAATAATAATAATAATAATAATAATAACAACAAAAACATGAAAATAAACAACACATCACGATCACCGTGCCCGAATTGAAGCTCGCTCTTGACACGTCATCCCCACTCCGACACAACACCTGTTCTTTCGATGCGCGCGTGCAATATTCTTTAGGTTAGTGAAGTGTATCGTCGACGGCGTGTGTGCAGTATTTTACCGTGCACCGACCTCTACGCACGTCATCGGCAGCCGAAACTGCTAGTAGTATAAACACTGTAAACCGTGTGGCCGACGAATAACGGCCAGATACCGACGGCGCAGACATCCGATAATTTCGACAGCGGCCGTTATCGCACGTCCGGCCACATCCACACCGGAAGCACGCATTGATCTATATTATACGATAGACGCGTAAATCGCGGATCACACCATTGATCAGAGATTGTTTTCTCCGCTTGGCACATCACTTCCGTGGCCGTTGGCCATGTGCATGCCGGCCAGTGCTGAGGCTGTGAAGTGCCTAGTCGCAGTCTTCGCGGCTGCGTCAGTGGCGGGGGTTGCGGCCGTCACACGACACCCGGTGACGGTGGTCGTGTCTTTCGATGGTTTCCGGCCCGATTACATCCGGGCCAATGTGACGCCGCACATGGCCCGATTCCGGGACGCGTCAGCCGCGCCGCCGTACATGCGCAGCGCGTTCCCCACGAAGACGTTCGTCAACCACTTCACCATGGCCACCGGAATGTACTCCGAGAAACACGGCGTGTTCGACAATTACATGTTCGACAAGAACTACGAGATGATGCACTACACGTACGAGCAGTTCCACTACGACGATTCGGTGGTGCCCATCTGGGTAAGGTCCATCTGTCCACGCTGTGTATAATAATTATAATATTAATTGTTTGGACTGTGTATGTAGCAACCTTGGTTCTAGCAAAATCAATCTCGACAAAATCAGTCCCCGCCATCAGTCCCTTGTAGTTGAGCAATATACTGCAGCCGGACTTGGTTAACTCGAAGTTGAAGTGACCGACTAAAATGTTTGAGTTATTCAAAGATATCAAAATAATAGGAAATACTAGGGACCGGTAAAAGTTTGAAGTATAGAAGATTTTGAGTTAAAAAATGTAGAGTTAACCAAGTTCGACAGTATCTCGAAAAATAGGCCAAGACCAGCGTTTTTCAATCTGTGGTACGCGGAAGAAATATAGGCGGAGATTTGATCGAATTGTAGAGGGTTCTTTATAAAATAAAGCCGTTGGTGCTTTACCCCCTCGCTCCCTCCTCCTAATCATAATATTACTAATAACACGCATTGACTCCTAAATTACTGACTAAAAACTAAACGGAGTGAGGAAACAACGTTGTACGCGTTACCAGGGTATAATTCAATAATAATTTAAAAACATTGTTTTTCAATATTTTTACGTGTTAAAAATTAGCTGACAACTTTACAGCCTCAATATTTACATCAGAATTAGCAAGATTTGTATCCTTTTATAGGGAAAAACTTTATCTGTGTCTTAGCATCCTTATATTTTGATAGCACTGACCAATAATTTTTTTTTATGGCGTTCAAAATGTTTGGCACTACGCATATATATATTATATAAATAAATACAGAAAATATACATGTTTGAAGGGGGGCTAAAGCCCTTTAGCCCCCTGGATCCACGCCTGAGCTAGAGCAGATTTCTCGAACGATTCGCCATTGCTTTTCGACGATGCAGGTTGGATCCGACACTTCCGCGGTACCATGTATTATGTACTACAAGATCAGTAGGTAATAAATATAACTCCAGTCGAACCGTGTTCTAAGTGTTTGTCCGTACGAAAATCATATACTGCTTGAACTAATAAGACGTGTTGATTTACTAAGATTTGGCAAAGAGAACGATCGTACTGGCTTATGTTTATTGGATTAACAATAATATTGTGTTTTGTTTTGATATTTTATGCGGCAGTAGGTACAGTAGAAGTATCGGTCTGTGACGGGATTAAGATAATATGTATTAATGTTGGAATTGAAAAGCCTCGATAACTTCTGGCCTCTACTACAGTACTCCTTATAGCACGCCATAGTCATATTATACATAGATAACCATTTTTAGTTATTATGAAATGTAATGAAAATTAAGGGGGGTAACGGAAGAATATAATATCATTGTTTCTTTCTTACGTACAAAACAACTACACTTTATTATGATTGTCCATAATATACTATACCTACTTGTTAATAGTTGAAATATTTCGCTACTGCCGCTACTGCCCGGTTTGTATTATACTATTGAATGACACCTAACCCGAGGGCACATTATATTTTCACACCTCATATAGTGACATTTCAGTGAATGCTGAACGACTGAAATATACTGTTATTACACGAGCCCCTAACTGATTAAGTGAAATATCCATCTTATAAATCAGGTCAATGACTTCGGACCATCATCCACGATCATGCACATACAACGGCTTTGAATTTTGATGACGTCTGACGCGTACTATAACGAATAGTTGTCGGTTTTCGGAACAATTGTAGTTTCATCTAGTATTCGCGTCCAACTGGTTTTCAGTAATCGATATTCTTAACGATATATGTAACGGTTATTTGTGACGGCCAATCATCTTATGTGAACAGTTTAAATTATTCCATACGAATACATTATAAATTGTTTGTTGTCGGTTACAATTAGCTACTAAGAGTTACTAAATTTTAAAATAGGTCTAAAGTTGATTGGGCATAGCCGCGGAGCCAACTTCATGAACGAAACATTATTACCTCACCACCGCCGACGGTATAGATCACTTAAAATCGATACATCCCACTACGTGACTTTTCCACTTTTACCTTTCGATATTACTGGGGATACTTTTTAATTCATCCCACTGTGGCTCTGCGACTCAGGAGTTAAAATAAATGTGTAAAAGTATATCAAAATCAAAATGTACTAAAATCGTTGTCTTGTGGTTTTTTTTGTAACAATTAAACTCAATATAGTGGTCAGTGATAAATTTTACGAAAAACCCTTTCTGTGTTTTCATTGTTTTTTCATCTTTAATATGATCAATGACCATAATAATTGCTTGTCGCTTAATACATCATGAATTTAAGAAATTAATTTAGTACCATTCACTATGCCATAGTTGAAAATTTAGTACATATCCAAAATAAATATTTTGTACATTTGCCACAATAGCCTGAATTCGCGTTACATTAGATTTAAATTATATATTCCTATTTAAATATAGATTAGTTGAGTTGTACTATATGAGTTTTTTTAAAACGATTTTTTCATATATATGAATGTATTTCTTAATTTTCAATGAGATGGGTTATACCATATTTAGCATTTGTTAATATCAAATGATAAAAGTGAAAAATGTACGCTGTTTGCGATTAGATCCAATTTGCTTTCACTAACCTCCATCAATGTGAAAATCTATGTATTTTATTTGAATTAAAAATATCCACGAAGCCATGTAGTAGGACACCAAAACGTTGGATACACATAACTTTTAAAATGTATTTTTTTTTAATCTTATACTTATAGATAGTCGTCTCGATGTATATGCTTAACACAAATTGTAATAAGATCTTTAATAGAACACTTTGCATTTGTTGCATTAGTCTTAAACACGTACAACGTAGCAAATTGTTGTTCACTAGTTTCAATAGTATGCTGTTATTTTTGATATTTGAATGAATTTACCTATTATCAAACTCTTAGGTAAGAACATTATCTGTGTTTAAGCGTTAGTTTTTGTTTGGTATTTGAATTTTCGAGTGAGATAATATGATTATATTAATTTTTTAATATTTCGCATACTAATTTCTTGTTTCAAAAATTAAAATATGAAAAAAGTCACCCAGAAAATTTTCTACTTAAAAGTTTTATACTATATAAATTCAGTCTAACATTAAGACTTAACAGCGTACTATTGAAACTAGTGAATGACAGTTTGGTACGTCGTACGTTACGTTTGTAAGACGGAGACAACAAACACATGGGTAACGTCCTCTTAATTTTGATAATACGTATAAAATTAAAAGTCTAGGTATGTATTGCATACATTTAAATATCATAAAACATACAAATTATTTATATTTCTTATTTATAAAAAATTCAATAAGTAGTAATTTTGATGGACACTCGCCAAAAAGTTATACTGTGCAATATAATTAATGATTATAATAATAATTTTAGGTACATTTTTCCAAGTCACGTTAACATTATGTACGTGAACAAATTGAAAATTTGATTATTGAGTTTGTTAAAATTATATTACACACTTATAAGTAGGATTACGAACATTACAATGAGCGTTATCAATGTCGTAAACGCGAATAATTGAATTACACCTGTGAAAACGAATGACTGATAATCTTATATATTAATGACAATTACATAATTATAAATTAAATTGTATTCGCATAGCATGGAATGCAACGGTTAACGAGTGCAATATGTAAAAGTAAAAATGTAATAAATATATTTATGAATAATTATGTTTTGTGTAGTGTTGAATCATAATGTTCTCACGTGGTACCCAAGTAGGTATAACATATTGATGATAAACTTATTACGACACAATTATATAATATAAATTACAATTATGTAAAATAATATTAATATAGGTGTTACATATACATGATACATATATAAAATAGGAAATAATCTACAAGTAAGTCATGTTTTTGTACACATTTACTGATAAATAGTTTATAATTTAATATTTTAATCATATTAGTACCTATTTTAACATCCACTAACTTAAATCTAAAACGAAAATAGTATAATACCTATCTTCACTAACGACAGGCGTTCGCTTTTACTCTCTAAATTTGTACATACATTAATATTTTTTAGCTTTTATCGGTTGCTCTGAACCCTTTTCTCTAATAATATTTCAAGTAAATTCTTTCAATGAACGAGATCTTAAACCTTTTTATCAAATAAGTTCCATTATAAAAATTATAATATCATGAACTGCCCTGCTAATCTTGTAATGACTGCAAGTAATAAATGTGTATTTGCTAACTATTATTAGCAGTCTTTGAATTTAGTGTATTTAAATCGTAATTCAATTTTTTTTTCTATTTTAGTTATTAGTATATTCAGAATTTAATTTGTATACATTATCATATTATTGTAATAGTTGATATAATTAAAATAAATAAATAAACTATATTATAGTAACTTACACGTTCTTATTTGTTGATACATACTCGGTGCTCGTAAATCGAACTCATCGTCATGAACTCATAATGTTAATAGACGATAAGAATCATTTAAATAATAGGCCAAAGTAATAATAGGTCAAATAAGGTTTAGTTGGGTAATTTGTAAAAGAAACCCAACGCATTACAATATTCATTATTTAATATCCCGATGTTAATAAACCTTTAAATGTATAATTGTATAATAATCAATCCTAGGTAAATTGTGTAGAGGTTATATATTATAATTTTTCAGAGAACGTAAAATAACTAAATAAGTACTGATAAAAACCACAAAAAACATGAACTGACAGTATACACATAATTATACAATATACCTAGTCCATACTAACATATACACCACACTGTCATTTTTAGAATGTGTATGACTGATCATTTCTATAAAATTCAGAATAAATATAATACTGGATTATATCAAGGTAACATGACATGATATACGGGACAAGTGTACAAGTGTAAAAGTGTAGAACAACCAGTTTTTGTAGTTTGTTCAGTATCTACCAGCATTATTTTTGTTTAATAATTAACAAGCCATTTTTCAAACCAATGTAGCTTACCGAGGTTTGTTATTTTAAATCGAACTTTATTTAAAAAAATATGAGTCTAGTACTTTAAGTTTAAACTAATATTATCATTAACAAGACTATAGAGGATGCTACACTAGGATAAACGTAGGTACTATGCCCGTATTTTCATCACGATGTTAAAACGATTGAAAAAATTGTAAATTTAGTTATCTTCTGTTTGTTTATGATAGATTTGTATATATTTTTTATCCTACATCACTTTATTATTAATCCTGCAGTCAATCGTTATGTCATACAAGTAAAAATTTAACATTGCTTAACAATCGCACTGAAAAGAAATATCAAGTTTTTAAAACATTATACTTAGCTTACAATGGTTAAGTCATTTTGAAAATTATTTACCTACTTATATTACCTTCTATCATAGAGTATATTTTACTCCTTTCAGAAACATTTTTCCGATGAACAATAATAGTAATCAAAACAAACCCAAACAAAAAAATAATGATTGTAAAACATAACATAATAAAATAATATCATTTTAATTTAATTTCAAATTTAAATTAAGTGTATGGACTACATACATTAACATTATACCATTAAATATCGATATTACTATAATATCCCCATCACCTATACTAATCAACAAACTTTCATTACTTTATTTATTGCCGACTTGCACGCTCTTAATAATATTTTCCAATGAATTTTTATTCAAAAATTCCAAGGTTGACTGAATATTTGTACAACAGTATTATCTTACGTTATGTATACAATGATATAGTTGAAACCTTTTATAATATTACTATAAAAACAGCGATACCCATGTCCATAATTTTTATCACCTATTGAAAAGTGAGACTAAACATTTCCAGTTGAAAAAGAGAACATTTTCTAAAAATGTTTAAGAATTAACGATTAACTTAATGATAACTTAATTATTCCACTTTTATTTATTATTAATATTATTAATAGAAAAATAACATTTGTATACTACTATTTGTATAAACATATTTTGTTTTTAACTTTTATGGTGTAATTATAATGATAGTGGTCAATACCCGAAGGATGTCGATTTTATAACTAAAACTGCTGTATCCCACCCTATTGATTTTTTGGTTCTGTGGTTTAATATTTAATAATGAAGCTGTCGGCAGCCGCCCACCAAGGCATCTCGACTAGTTTGACGGATCCCTCCCCCATTTGTAAATCCTTGCTCTGCGACTGATCCTGATGTTGTTAGTATGGTCTTATGAGATAAAATAATTTCAGATTCAAAACGAAATCAATGGAGATGGACGATTTAGCGGTGTGATGATGTGGCCAGGATCCGAATTCGCGTATCAAAACAAATATCCTACCTATATTCAAAAATACAACCGGTAATAATATACATTATAATTGTAATGATAAGCAATGAGTCTAATCTTTTTACATTTTATTATTTACTTTTTAACTTTATAAACCGTTTTAAACTAAATATAAAGCCAACAAATTTGAAACACAACTCTACTTTTTACTATCTAAATATTTTTAAAAACATAAATGAGCAAGTTCAACATTGTATTTTACAATTATTATTTGAAAATAATATTTATTGTAACAATAATATTGATCTTCTTTAGATTTTCTTATAAATCGTATAAAATTGTTTGACCAAAATAATTATTTATTTATATATATCCAGTTCATTGCCTTGGTCTGATCGTATAGACATCATCATGTCATGGATTAAAGACAAAAATAAACCAGCCAATTTAGTGTATGCGTATTTTGATGAACCAGATCATATTGCTCATTTAAAAGGAATCTACTCACAAGAGACAACAAATCAAATAGTGAGAGCAGATGTCACACTAAAGTATTTATGATTTATAAATAAATTGAAAATAAATTATACGTTTGTTTTTTTAGATGTATACATGTCACTATGAACAATGTAATTACAAAAAATATTTTTAATTTTTTCAAATCATTTTTTTTTTTTAAATATCAAGTTATATTTCATTAAGTTTATAATAATCTGTTTCATATTTGCTAACACTGTTAACATTCAAAAAATCATAATTTTAGGTATATACTTGACCAAATAAGTCAGGAAAAACTAGAAAACAAAATAAATCTCATTATTCTCAGCGATCACGGGATGGATACTATCACGTATGAACGAATGATACATTTAGATAATTATGTGTCCAATGATACTTACAAAATCATTAAGTCAGGTCCTAATGCGTTCATACATCCAAATCCAAGTGAGTTATTTAATACAACCGTCACGTCATATAAGGAGCTACTTGAGTGATACTAGTACACTTAGAACACTTATATTGTTGCTATTATTTTCAGATAAATTCGACGAAATTTATAAAAATCTTTCAATAGTAGCCAATACTTCTAAGATATTTGGTGTATATAAAAAAGATGAATTACCTGACCGTTGGCATATGAAAAATAATTCAAGATTGACAGATATTATATATTTGTTGGCTAAACCTGAATATGCATTTTGGGATATATATTATGAATATATTTTGAACGGAACAAGTTAGTACCTAACCTATACATCAATAAAATTAAGTAAACGCAATGATAAACTATCAAAGAACGTTTTTTAAAGTGAATTAGTATGGTCCAAACATTTTAGAGACAATTTTAGTACCTAAAACACTTTTATACCCACCACATGCGACAATAAATAAGTCACTGTTATTGTAATTTTTTTCCTAGCTACAAATAATACATAATATACTGTGGTCTTAACTAACATTTGAAAGGAAACATCATAAGAACAGTGCGTATTTATAAATTCTAAATATTATCTGTTGACTGTATTCATATGCAATACACATATCATTTTTTATCTTTGTTACAAGATTTCAACTACAATTTTTATTAGTCTAAAAATAAATTTATAGCTAAAAAAAATATATATATAATTATTAATATAAATTATGTCCTATAATGCAATATTATATGTATAGTAACATGTTTGGAAAAATGTTCAATGTTTGGAGTAGGTATGGAAAAATTAACATAATATTGCACGAATTTGAGCCAATGTTCTCTTCGGCTTGGTGTGATTAACCAAGATTGTTTGGGATTTTGTAGGTTTCAGCATATTTGGGGCAGTCGAACACTATAATTTGGTTAGTATTTCATCGCAAGTATCATAATTTTGATTTTTTGCTGACGAGATAGGAGTGCAGAATTGAGTGGGAGTGGCTAATTCTCGCTCGAGAGATGATTTCTTATAAATATTTTAATACACTACATTAAATTGCATTAGTAATATATTGTATAGGTACGTACGCCAATATTTTAACAGAGATTTTCGAGTGGAATTTATCAATACATATTAATTGTCTAACCAATATCTTTGCGATAAACCCTGCCCCACGGTACTAAAACAATACCCGTACCGTTACTTGTTCGTTTATAACAATCATATACTAAGTATGTACGGTTGTACTAAGCTCAAGACATGCGATGAGCGTTGATCGTTGTCCATGTTTCAGCCAAGGAGAAGTTCAAAGTAGGGGCTCACGGATACGACAACGAAGAACCGCACATGCGAGCCCTTTTCATGGCTTCCGGACCGGCGTTCAAGAAGAACTACACGGCAGTGCAGTTCGACAACGTGGACCTTTACCCGCTGATCAGCCGGATCGCTGGCCTAACCGAGCCGAGCCGACGGATTGACGGGACAATGAAAGGCGTCGAACAGTTGCTGTCACCCCAGCCCGTCGGCGCCGCCCCCACGTCCACGCCGCCCGTTTTAGGTATATTGTCAGCTTTGTTACTTCACGCGATCGCGCGGAGTCTGTGAACCCTAAATCCACCACCCGAATACCTCTTTCCCGTTTATCTGTGATCGGACCCGAAATTCTTTGATAACGATGTTACATTTGGACGTGCCCCGATTTTCGGGTGGAGATTGTAGGGTGGTTGTCTCGTCTCGTCAGAGACCCTTTTTCGGGTCCCGTAAACTATATTATACGTAGGTATACGACTATTTTGGTATCTGCAGTTGGATTCGTTCTCCTTCTCAATAACTATATTATATTAATTTATTATCAAATAACTATATTTTGATTCGATTAATTGGCCAAACGTACTCACGTTGTATTATGGCATACGATTTACATATTATGACGTATTACAAAAATATTCAACAAACTCGTCTTATCGCTATCGTGTTTCGTGTACGATTTTCATTATTCAAACAATATCGCAATACCTTAAAGGTATTACTCGTACGTGTCGATTTGCCTTATTTTAAATTCGTGTAAGTATATCGTTTAGTCGAAGTACTTATATTATAATAATTAAGTAGGTGCAATAATATGTAAGTTTATTAGTTATGTCATTTTTTTTTTTTGCAATCAGTAAATTTATTAGTCCATTATATTATTATAAAATATTAGTTATAATTATTTAAGATTTGCAAAACGAAATCTCTCAATCATATTTGTATTTTTATTTACTAAAGTTGTGTACCTAATTAAACAATGTGTTTTAGTGAGTCAACTCCAAGGTTTTTTAATGTAAAAACAAAAACAGTGTATATATTTTTAATACAATTAAAATACATAAAATAATAAACCTGTCTGCATTATATTCGTCATTTTTCATAATATAAACTTTTATTTATGCAACTATGTTCCGCCAAAATTACGTACAATGTATTATGTAAATGTAATTTTTATTGTATACATAACTAGGTACAAATTTAGTATCATTATATTTCATGAAAATATCAATAAACTACTAGTTTAATATTTGAGTTAGGACATGGGTGATTTAATGTATTTTATACCTACCCAATTTGTTCTAATTTTAAAGAACAGATAAATATTTTTAATACTTTACTTTAAAATCGTTATTTTATTAAATCAATTTAAAACAGTGTATTTCTTCATGTCTTTTAAAATATATAAATTATTTAATGCACCTATGATATTTATTAAATTACTTGAACATTTTTTTAAAATTTTATCGTTATCAAAAACCGACATTTTTTTGTTAGAGAAAAAAATGATTTCAAACATAGCTTCGACATAGGTACTACATTTCAATCAAAATCTTTACGTGGAATGCAAAGACTCAACCGTCTTCAAATTAAAAGATTAAAATTTCATTTAAAAATTCACCAGGAGATTTAAAACTTGAAAAATTTCATTGAAACTTATTTCTAGTGACACCCGTGGAGGGTGGAACAAAACGAGTTAAGTATCTAAATCAAAATTAATATTTTCCATATTAAAACCATAATATTATTTTTATGGAATACGTTTGATGTATAGTTATTATGCAAAACATTAATAACATATAATAATACATTTGTAAATACGACATAAATAAATATAATTTATTTTAACTTCTATCTACCTACTTAAAATGGCATTTGAATTTTGATGGTTGTACATACATGATTATTCTATAAGTTCAAGTTTTTTTTTTAATACAATATTAAATAAATCCGCACAAAGTTGGCCATAAAATATGAATATAAATGAGTTTGATTTACAAGATTTAGGAAACAATTAAAAACAAATCAGACAAAGCTTGTAGCGCATTCACCACAAGATAGAATGCTGCGGTTTGTTATCACTTATCATTATACATTTGAAAGCTGCCATAAATTATTGAGTTCAAAAATCAATTCTGCATGGAGTTTTGTTATAATACAGAACTTGCTAAGACTTTGTGAAATATGTTGTTTCCTCTATAGTGGAAATTTAAAAATCATTTCTTTCAAATACTACTTAAAGTAGCATTCAACTCCAGTTACGTCTAAATGCCTCAATGTTCATTGTATATACGGTACTCCGACGACAAGTTTAAGAGTCATGTCCAGTTTTACTGTAGAGCCTTAGATTGTATACAATTGACGCGCCTACCTTCGAGTCATTGGTACACAAGAAGAGTCTTATACATAAAATGTAGAAAAATATTCAAAATAACTAATAATGTAAAGTACAAAATAACTTATACAATATATTATGTACATAATTATCACTAGCTATATATATATATATTTTTTTTATACATTCACACTGTACACTGTACACGATAGAACGAATATTAAAAAAACGCAGTCCAAAAAATAACCAATTTTAAAACCAACCATGCAATTTTCATTTTATGTTAATACACAATTTCCACCCTAAAATTCATAAATCTACAATAAAAACTAAATTTAAAGAACTACATTCAACTATGATCGAAATTAACGAATAAACGCATCTGTAGACCGTTGGACAAGGTTACAAGAATAGTTATGACACTTACTCTCGTCAACGGCGTTAAATGAGTTAAATATAAATGTCTGATTACGAATGTGTGCGTGAATTGTATATAAATTATCAAGAAACAATATACTTATCATTATAATTTATAAGCTCAAGTATTTCTTGCAGCTTGTTTCATTAGTTCGGTTATTGATGTTAGGGGAATAACAATAAGATAAAACACAATATATCGTATGACATACCTAATAAAAAAATAGGGAAATTCGCTCAGCTGTATAGTAGGTGTTGTAATGTTGTCACTATTAGGTATCGAGGGTTACTCAACATTAAATATACTCAATATACAGTTATAACTTATAAGTATTAAGGATATGTTAAATTTGAATTCAATGAAAAATAAATATTGTTGTAAATGAAAAACAATCGTGAGCGGGTCACAGCGGGGTCATATATATTTATTTTAATTGTTATCTATAATGACATTTTTTATTAGTAATGCGGCAGGTTGAATTAATTTTTTTCAAAAACAAATTGCATACCTATATTATAATATAACAATAATAATTACAATAATTGTATTTCATATAATATTACTAGCTGTTATTAACTATTTAGGTAAGGCCCGCAGGTGGCCCACACGATGTGCTTTTCCGCAGACCTCAATTTGCGGCCATTACGAAAGGTTTATAGCCAACACCAACAAATTGATGTACCGAAAGAACCACTACGTGGTATTTACAAGGTACCCGTCATAGGCAATGGCAGTAATTGCATCACTAAGTCTTGATGATAAGAATACTACTGGGTACTAAGTTCACTGAAATATAGGTTCTAGCTAGCTAGTTTTTAGCCATTTCACTCCAATGCACATGGAAAACGTTTTTTTATGTTATCGACCATATTGTACATAGCTATACGTGCTGATGGTTAGCGATAAAGATGTTCAGACCCCATTTTTTATAACCTTTCATCGTCATCATCGCCGACTAAAATTATTTAAATTTTTTTGATTTTTAATAATTTTGATTTCAGTAAATAATATAAGAACATTGGTTGGGGGGGGGGAATAATTTCAACAAAAAATAAAGTGATAGGTAAATACGTTGACTTAAAATATTTCTTTATTTAAAAAATACTTTTATATTGCTACATAAGATTTGGGGTAGAAGCAGTTGACAGCTATTGTCATCTATATTGTCCTTAACAGTATGAATATTGGGCATAATTGGCTTTCTGAATTTGCCAATATTTTAAGATTTGTTGGATATTTTTTAATTTTATATCGTGTTTATAAATTCAAATAGTGTAATACAATAGTATTCAATGTCCATAATGGTCTCTCTGCAGTATTACACTAATTTAATGGTTTAAAAGTGTTTGATTTTATCAATAACAAACGAAACAAATTTTTTATTCTTCACAATATATTAGGTTAAAACATAGAATTATAGTCTAAAAATAATATAGACATATGAACATAGATAGACGCAGTCATACAGATAATAATATATATTTTATAAAATAACTTAATCACTAAAATTACACTTGACAAACATATTATAACCTTGTTATACAAGTAAACAATTTATACAATTGACTCAATTGAGACATTGAGTGGTATCCAGAACAATTATCGTAGATACTCATTGACAAGGAACTGCATTAAAATATGACTCTATACATGAACTGTATCAAATTCACTTGATTAGAATACCTTTTTATTAGAGTTTTCCATACTATGTACTGTATATATAAAATAAGTAACATTAAATGTGACAACAGTACCTATATGAGTCTTATTTGGTGTAAAGTAGTCCAAAGGGTTATATATACCCGCTTTTTCTTTATCAAACCAATTTAATGTCAAAATTATATCAACTTACAAAATATAATATGTTATGATGTTACAGGTAAGCAGAAGATTTCGGAGAAACGACAAAGGGGTTAGGCACCTTGTCAATTACAATGTACATTTTTTGTATTGAGTTTGAACCATAAACCGTGAGAAAACTACTCGTACGTGTACCTAACTTATTATAAGGATGTACATAATAAGCAACGTTAGACACTGCTCTAGAAGAGGAGAAACAACTTTTTTTTAAACTTTGTTGACTATTTTATTTTTTGTCAAGATTGCGTATTTGTGTGTAATTGTGTGTAATACAATACTTACCAACCTCGTTATTGAATTCATAAAAACAACTAAGGATACAAATTAGCCATTAGGTAACGAGTAACAATTATGTTCAATTTACAATTTTTATAATATAAATTTACTTTATTTTATTATTATAAAATATATTCAATGTGTTTCAAAAAATAAAATGTGTGTAGTGTGTTAGTATGTTACAAAAAAAAAAACATACTTTAGCTGAATCTTATACAAGGTGTAATAGGAAAGTTTGGCTTAGATAAATGTTTTTAGAATCAAAAGTTTTCTGAAAACCAGATATTAATTTTATATTATACGTGAAACACACGAGTCAATCAATTATACATATAAAAAAATAACATTGATTAGAAAAATAGCTATTTCATTTGTCAGGTATTTTACATTTACACCCTATAGACTAAATAGTAACTATATTATAAATTTATAATATTGACTGAAAAATGTTTATTTGATTAATTACACAATTATAGTATACATTATAATACGATACATTTAAAAATAGTAATTGATGATTTGCGTTCAAAGTAAAAAGCAAAACTACCATATTATTTCCATTTAAAAACAAGCAGTATTATGTTCCAGAGCTGGATAATAATAATGCAATTCAAACCACCAATGTTAGACTAATATATGACTATAATAATTGCTCATTTTTGAGATGAATTGACACGGCGCGTATGACATTACACGACATCAGAAAATACAAGTAAGCATTTTTAGCGATCGGTTGCGTCTGAACGCCTGAAATGATGTGAAACGTTACGACCAGATAAATCCAACGGACATTTTGAGTTAGCGGCATTAATTACCACCAAATGTTAGGTTAGGTTTTTGTGGTTAGCATTTAGTAATAATATATGATGTCTTTGTAATATCTAGTATTATAAATGCAGTAATAATAATAATTTATTATAATCAATAGAGGATAAGTGTTGTGTTTATTTATTTGTTTTGTTTATTTTGGATTTAGTATTATGAACAGTAAAACTAAAGGTGTTTTTTCGGTGAATCTTTGACGTAAAAATATATGGCCCGTTGGTGATTTAAGTATTTAGACCACTGCTCTATAGCGTTGTTGTGCGCAAGCGTAAAAACGGAAAATTGTGAACTACCTAGGGAACTACCTATATTACTTAAAAACTAAATATTTCTACGGATTGTTTAGAACCATCGTTCTTAACTCGGTATCATATTATGTAAATAATAAAATTAAAAAATCGAAAAATTAGAGTGGGGTTTATTGTACCTATACCTTCTATATAATTTATAATATATATTAATATAAATAAATAAATGTTTGTGTATCAGTATCACAGTGTACAATATTATAATCTATTGTCATAATGCATTTTATTTTTAGGTTGTATTGTTGTACTTTGGATTGTAAACGATTGCATTGGTTACAAACGTTAATCATTTTAGTAATTAAATTGCATGTATTTAAATTTAGTTAATCACTTTATTTACGAAAAATTCACCATGATGAACATCCCAATTATCAGGCATTCAAAATTAAAACCATAGAAATGTAAGACTGTATAATGAATCCTATTTAATTTAGGTAGTAAATGTCATAAAATATGCATAGTCATTTGTTCAAACTTTAAGCACGCATTATGATTAACATAATTATTATTAGTAAAACAAATCTAACGAGGTCGTTTTTGAGTAAAACACATTTTGTCTCTTGCAATCATCTCGACATAATACTGAATCAGTGCTTCTTCATAATAAACACTAAATTTGCTGGTCTGCATGACACCTTCGTGGGGTTGATTTATTATGCTCTTTCAAGAACATCTGTACCGTCTCGAAAAGTGTGAAACTTACGCATCGTGCAAAATCAGCCGTCTATTCGTTTTTAGTCAGAATTTTGACGTGTATGTTTAAATCATGTTACGGCTTTACGTGTGACGTTAGAAATTGGATGATGTTGATTATCGACATTAGTATAATAATTTCAACTTTAAGTCAAAGCATTTTGGCCAATGTATAAATTATTAATGTGTTATAATTTTGTCAATAAATTAATCGTGACAATTTTACAAAATAATGTACAATTTCAACTTTTTAACTTTAGCCAGTTAATATTAAGGCATAACTCGAATTGCGATTAGTTTGTCAATCATAGTCAGTTATTATATATTTTGTTAAAACTACAAAAGTTGTTGTTTAGCTGTATAGCATTTTTTGTAGTAAGAAATAATCAAAAACATTTTTACGACTTTTATTCAAACAGAATTTTAATCACACAAACAAAGTCGAGTCACAAGCTAATGCTAGATTTCGGTGTACTTAATTTTTACAGCAACCCTGTTAATTAAATTAATATTAATAGCATTCTATATTTCTATAATATAGGTATTTACTCTTTTTCGCGGAAGCAATGCGAAAGCAGTCCCCGCGGCGCCGTCGGTTCAAAACTGGAAAAAAAAGAAGGTATTTACTCTAATATTTTAGCCAGGTTTTCATTTACATAATTCACTATTCACACCTTCATAATAATCAATAATAATAATATGTCTAACATTGATTCAATAAAAATACTACCTACGGTACTTTGCTATTTCCGTCTTTTTAACTTTGACGTTCATTAGGAGCCCCTTTAACGATGTTCAGTGGGGTTAATGTTTTAACAATATAGCTATTGAGTATATTCCCAATCCCAATATTTACATAATGTAAAGTATCCTCGGCAGTGCCTACAATTCACTGCATTAACATTTTTACTGCATATCTAATTCCACTCGCCAAAATATTTTTAAATTATATACCTACGTAGTAGTGTGCAAAACAAAATAAAATTACTACACATTTCATAATTAACATTTTAGAATTGCACATTTTATATTTGCTATTGCACATTTCATACTTGGTATTGCGCACTTTATATATTTTGCTTTTGCACGTCATAGTGTTGAGAAATATTTTTCCGACCAAGTACCTTTATAGTTTATTCTGATACAATTTGGTTCCAAGGAATACAGTTCATGGAAAATACATTTCCGACATAGAATATTTCTGATAAAATATGCTTCCATGAAGTACATTCCGACATAATACTTGTCTTACGAAATATCGAAAAATACGATTCCTAGCATATATTATATTCCAACTTTATGCGTGCTCCCGTGTGTGCTGCAGCTTCTCCACACAACTTTAGGCCCTGATCTGCGGATATAATATAATATTAGTATGATGTCTTTTCGTACAAGAGTCGGCGGTGACGGAGATGGCGGCGCGGAAAATCGACGTTACGACAGAACAACAATTTATTCGCCTAGCGTGTCGACCGAGCGCGTTCGTCACTGCTCCCACTCCGACCGAACGAGTGTGTCGTCGCCTGTTCGGCCCTCGCGTCTTCTCCCACACCACTACAAGAGTTTGAAAAATGCCACGCTTAGAGTAATATCACTCTATGCGCTGCAGTTACGCGCACGCCGCCAACACGCACAATATTGTTATTGTCCACCGACTGCTGTCCATTTGCAGATGTACACGAGAGACGGCCAAGGGTGAAACTCTTTCGTTTCGGCATTTCATAAAGTATTATACTCGCCGTGACCTTTCCAGTCCACCGGAACCACGCACAAAGACCGGCGGTAATTATTGCGGTTTCGACGAATATTACAAATATCCGTTTGGTAAGTGTACATCGACGACGATACGAATGCGGTTTTTACCGTGAACCTCGAACTATAATACTATATCAGTTGCAAGTCAGTGAAATAGGTACGTATGGAGGTAAGTTCCGTGACCAATGAATATAGCAACTAAATACCAGCGATCTGCATTGCAGCTTGAAACACGATCCGATTATAGATTCCGAGATATTAAGGGCATCACGACAACGGCCGTTCGATCCGGACACCGCTGTTGACCCGTGCCCTTATCGTTATCGAGTCCGGCCACGTTCACACCGGAGGTACGCGTCGATCTATACAAACGCGTAGATCACCGTTCGCCGGTGGACAATTTTTTCCTCCAATCGCTGCCGGTGGCCGTTGGCCATGTGCTCGCCGACTGGTGCTGTGGCCGTGCAGTACTTAGTCGTGGTGTTCGCGGCGGTGGCGACGGCCGCCGTCACGCGACACCCGGTAACCGTGGTCATGTCGTTCGATGGTTTCCGGCCCGATTATATCCGGCCCGACGTGACGCCGCACATGGCCCGATTCCGGGACGCGTCAGCCGCGCCGCCGTACATGCGCAGCGCGTTTCCCACGAAGACTTTCGTCAACCACTTCACCATAGCAACCGGACTGAATCCCGAGACGCACGGAGTGTTCGACAATTCCATGTTCGACAGGCACAACGAGACGATGCATTACACCTACGAGCAGTTCCACTACGACGATTCGGTGGTGCCTATCTGGGTAAGGTTCCATCACTCACGATGCATAGTGCAACCATACGATATCAATACTATAGGTAGGGGGCCTTGTCAACGTAACCCAAGAGTCACGAATTTTGATATTTATAGCCAGTCTTGCAATGTCCGGTTAAATGTCAGTTAACGCTGACCGGCTGATAACAGATTTTATTACAGACAAAATTCCGTCGGTCAAGTGTCCGTTAACTTTAACCGGAGATGGTAAGAACGGCCCCTAATGTGTTTAATTATTTTATCTTCCGATATTGTTGCCTAGAATTTTTCGTAGTACTTTTGACTCAGTTTTGGTCGTAGGTTTTTTTCCTCAGATAACTTAAAGCCTTTCTTTTTGCCCATAATGTTGTAGTTATGTATGATCAATATAAAACTTTGTCGTATAATAGAGGGATTAGTTATTGGATTGCAAAGGTAGTACCTAACCTCTAATCTAGAAAAATCTGTCAACGCGATATTGAGTGAATATAAAATAATAATATAAAATATATATATATTGTGAACTACTCGTATAAGTATATATTATTATATATTCCATCAAAATCTGTTTTCGCCAAAATACTTGAGACATTCTTTAATGGCATTTGTCATATTATTAAATTTACTGTTCTTTGATTAAATACGAAACTAATCAATACGACTTATCTTATGCTATTGTTGTAAACATTTACATTAAAATGCCTTGATAGTACTGTGACCTAGGCAATAATGAGTATGATAGTATATACTATATAGATAACCATATACATATAATTATTACTTAGCCTTCTTAGCACACATAATTATTGCAATAGCTCTGAATCTCTGATATGGTAATATAGTACACACAACACACGGCTAATCCATCGCCGTCTAGACATTTTTAAAACGAAACTATACTATTATTATTCGTTTCTCGGAGATTCCTAGGATGTGACAAGGAGTCATGTACAATTAGTTTCACAAGTATTTGTGAAAATCAGTACATATAATAAATGTTTGCCTTAATTAATTGAGCTGAATAACGAGTATTATATAACTAATATTCCTTCTTAAGTATACCAAAAACAAGAGATAATCTGCCAAGACCTATACAAAGGAATTCTTATCAGTGGAATCCGAATAGCACTTTTCATAGCATATGATAGCTTACTATTAATGTGTCTACAATGTGTGTGTCCAAAATTGTATTCAAACAATATAATGTTTAATTTAGCTTTGTCTTTTACTTAAATAATAATTATAAAATTGAAAAAAATTATCTAGAAATTTACAGTTAATGTTGTATACTTTTTATTACCTAGGTACCCGTTAGAATTGTTATGCATAACATCGTAGTGATAAGATTCTAACTGTATACAAATTAGAATAATTGTTGTAATTAGAGTATCATATTTAGATAAATATGTTAAAGACAGAACAAAAAACACAACAACAAAAACAAAACCATGCGAGGGTCAGTCGGCTGTATAATGGGTTTCTACTTTCTAGTGTACCTTGTCATTGAGTAAGTAACTATAAAAGATGTGGCCAATTTGAATTCAATGAAAATGCATTACATACTTATTAAAATCGATTCTAATTGGAAACAGTCAGCTCTATGTGCCAGCCTCTATTTCTAAGGATATTTTATAATTAATTTATACGACTATTCGGAATACAGTAGGTTAAACTTATTTTTGTCAAAAATCTCATCACACATTAAATATTACTGTACAATAATTTATAATTCCAATATTAAACAGAATTTTTTTGTTATTACTTATTAATTTATAATATTATAACTTTTAAGTCATTGCAGTAGTACAGTGTGAACAGGTTTCATGGTACAAATTATAAATAGCTTAACATTTGGAAAGTTTCATTATATTATTATGACAATAAAACAAAATTAATCTTCAAACTAAATACCGACAGACATAACGGTAATATAAGATTTTGTAATCTTATGTTTGGAAACCTAAAATGGTGACCATGTATTTTCATTAATTTTAATAGATGTATGAAGACGTTGTATTACATTTTCAAGATTTTTGTTTGCAATCGAAAATTGTATCAACACTTAAGTTGAAAAAAAAACAGAATATTTCAAATACACATCTATCAATAGCTCAAAAGCCGCTAAAATATTTTTAAACGATATCATATTTAGGATATGACAATTTAAATATTTTGTGAAAATTTCAAATACCTACAGTTAGCCATTTACCAAATTACAATAAAATAACAATAATAATTCAAACTTGGTAGGCATTTCGTAGATGTTGCCGTTTTTCTATAATTAATATTTTTTTTTATTTTTTCCCAATTAATTTGAAAAGTAGGTGCTGGAAAAAGTTTTTACTTCAGACCAAATTACCAATTAGATTCAATTTTCAACCAGACATCCACATAGTCACAGATTTAAGAATTTTCCTGCTTCAAAAGTTAAAAGACACAACAATTAAAATTTAATTATAATAAAATAAAACACACACACACCTTTTTAAAATTGATTTATTATACATTCATCACTCCGCTCAGAATATAAAATACAAACATTGTTCTATTGTAATTGTATGTATTTTACTAATACATTTTAGACCTTAAAATCCATTGTACATTTGTACTATGTTGTACCCAAAGAAAATTTCCCTCGAAAAATTAAAGTAATATTAATATAATTGTTATTTTCGAGTGCATATTTAACTTTAGATTCTGAGCGAAGCCATGAATGTATTAATTTTACAATGATGTGTGTTTTTTTTAATTTTTGAGTATGTAATTACGATGAGTAATCGAAAAAGTCCTTCAATTTTCAACTTGAGTAATTTTTCTTGTAAGAAAGTGAATCTAGGTGGTGCGTTCGGGAGGTCAAAATGAAAAATTTCCAATAGCATTTTCAAAAGACCCGGGATAAACCAAAAAAAAACCTAACGGAGTTCAACAGTTATTTTTTTTGTAATTTAAAAATACTATTTGAGTGTTCTTGAAACATTTATATTTTATTATACAATTGAGTTTGAAAATAGACTTATACCTATTATAGAAGTTTGGGTATACCGCAGTGGTAATCATTGCATGATGGAACGCATTTAAAGATGTATGTGTGTTTGGTATACGGCGGATTCGGTACAAGAAGTGCTTGACCATCAGCTATTATTATATTGTATATATAATGAAATGTAAATTAGGTCATGACGTAAATACCTAGTCAATATCATAAGTTCCTAACATAATAGACGATATCGTTAATGTCTGGCTCTAGGCATTAACTGACAACATAGTTAACATGTTGTAAAAATCAAATATTTTATTAACACATTTACAACTATGACTAGAAAATTGTCTTAATGTCTTACACTGATAGACATTGTTGATTATTTTATCTATAGACATTTTTAAATTAAATAAAAAATTTACTATAGGTGGGTATACTGTATACATACATGTTACGCAATGTGCTAAAAAGCGTGCGCAGACTCCAAACATTAAATTATGGACCCCTGTATTAAAAGATTTAGTGGGCCCCATAAAATATTATTTGATATAAAATAAAGTGTTCCTAACAACATTTTGAAATTTAAAAATTACAAATTCCTAAAATAGCCTGGCCTCCTGAACCTAACCTGTCCATGGGCTTACGTGTGTACAAATATTATAACAAATAATCGTGATTTATATTGTATACATACTATACAGTAGACATATGTATTGTGTATCTGATAGACGGCTATCTTTTACTTATAATACAGCAACAAGCACCTTATGTACTTACCTAATGTACGACTATCGACATATTACTATATTCAGGGCATAGACACTGTGTGTAATGGCAAAATCTGGTAACTGTGGCCTTGAACACGGTCTCTAGGAGGGCTTAAATAAATAAATTAAATAAATAATTTAATTAATTAATTAATTAACTTAAATAAATCATATCATTATTATCACACAAAAATAATAAGAATAACATTGGTCATTGCGTGGTTTGGTTGTTTCCGTTTTTATAATTCCGTAACTTAGAGGGATACACGTTGCTAACATTCTGTCAGATTACGGATACGGTACAATTTCCAATACTTCAACCGTAGGGATACAGTAACCCGATCAGCTGATGGAGTGTATATTCTATATTGTTCTGTGCTATATTAAAGCTGGAAAGTACGTTATTGTTGGTATAGATAAATCAATTTTACAACTCAAGGCCGTTCCTAATAATAATAAGGTACAATTTTTACATTATTATTTACTCATTATTCAAAATGAGAATGGGTGCCCCCACTAAACAATGTCTTGTGTAGGACATTTATAATTAAATTAATTTGCTATCTTTTGACTATTACAGTTCATTAAAATAATATTTTATTTCGTTTCTTTTTTCAAGATAAATATTTAATTATTATTCAAATATCAATTATCTAGTATATAATTATAACTTAATTACAGATACAAAATGAAAATAATGGAGAAGGACGATATAGTGGTGTAATGATGTGGCCCGGATCCGATTTTCCATATCAAGGAAAAACCCCAACTTACACTGAAGTATACAACAAGTAACAACACAATTAAGTTAAGCCACAGGAATAATGAAGTTTTACAGTAACTTTTCATTAGAAATGTTATGTTGAAACTTGAAGGTGTATAGATATTTCACATTTCATAAATTGAAAAAACTATACATGATATAAAATAAATAGGTAATCAGTCAAATTAACGAGAAAATTCGAGATTATTCTATTCTAAACGGAGCTATGAATTTATTGATCTTACAATGATGTTTGTTTTTTCCTATTTGTTTCTTTGTACACGATAATTAGTCGAAATAATGGTTCCATTATCAACTTCAGGATCTTTTTCGGTGGTAAAATAAATCTAGTTAGTGCATTCAGGAGGTCAACATTTAAAATTCCCTATAGTTTTCAAAAGAGCTGGAAGAAACAAAAAAAAAATAGAAAAACAGAAATTTTTATGCAAAATCGGTTTTTGACAAAATCGATTTTGGTTTTTGGCGTAACTCGAAAACAATTAACCAAATGAACAAATAGACACATGACATTTTTACTTGATTTGTTTTACTGGACGTATATATTAGCGTTTTCTATACGACATCACATAGTATTTTTTAAATATTTTGACTCATGATGAGCTATTTATAGGCATATACAATGTTCGATAATTATACATTTTTTTAAAGATTAATGTCGATAAAAAAAATATCTCTCTGTCAAAAAACGAAATTTTAATACAAGGTTTTTTGTAAGTTGTTGTTAGTGTAAATTTAAAAAAAAAGTTGAGGGTAAATCCACCATCAACTTTTATGAGCGACTGAATTTCGAATTTTGACAAAATACGTAAAAATCACGACGATTTGCAAATTATTTTGAGTTAGAAATTTATAAAGTTGTTCTTTTTAAATCTAAAATTTGAAAATTTAATACAAGATTCCTCATTCATTTTTCTACCTTTATCAAAAAAAGTCTACTGGAAAGTCAAATTAAATTTGTATGAGCGTTTGAAATTTTTAACAATTGGGTATTCACTTGATTTCTCTTGCAATGATTTTCTTATTTTGTTGTAATTTTAAAACGCATAACTGAGAATACTTTAAATTTAATCAAAATGTTTGTTTTATCATTTTCGCTACTTAATACAATTTTCAAAATATTTTGATTTGCTTTGAGCAGTTTGCCAACACTTTCAATATTCAATTTCTTTAGTTTTTTTCCATAAATATCAATAAAATTGTATTCGTTTGGTCAAAAAGCTTGAAATTTAATAAAATATTTCTAATATAATGTTACGATAGTTGAAAAATATTAAAAATACGTTTCCACGATTTTTTTTAGTAAAATAAATTTCTTTAATCATAAAATATGGCTACTTAGTAATATTCCTATATTACTAAAAAGGCTGACAGATCGCCTTTTCTCATAATCGTTTTTCGTATACAATCATTTTATATCATTGGATTCAAATTGAACACATCCATAACAGTCACTTTCTAGACACCTAATGTACAGCATACAATCAACTTGATTGCTTTTTTTTACTTATTGACAAAAATAATAACATTTCAATTTATTTTTAGAAAATTTCCCTAACCATATTTGAATTTAATATTAATATACGTATTCCTTATACATATTGGCGCATTTAAGATAAGGAAAATTCACATCAAACGCACTATTTTTCCAACATATATAAAAAAAATTATGTTTAACTGCGAACATTTGTAATTTATTAAATAGAGCTAGAAAATGAAAAATTAGTACTTGGGTATCAAATTTCTTATTACATATTTTGACTCACTTCTGAGTCCTGGCCAATAAATTATTTTCAATGACATAAAGGATGCCCATTCTACATTATTAGTATAGAACAAATAACAATTTTTATTCTGTTTAGTTCAATCCATTGGAATTCTCGAATAGACACTATCATGTCTTGGATTGAAGATGAAAATCAACCAGCTAATCTAGTGCTTGCATATTTTGAAGAACCTGATAGAACTGGTCATAAAAAAGGAGTAGGCTCACAAGAGATAAACAAACAAATCATTAGAGTAGATGACACAGTCAAGTATGTTTATGATTTCACTATACATTATTTTGATCACAAAACTATTAATATTTAATATACACCTACATACAACTTCTTTAATGATTATGTATAGCCAAAGATTGGCATTAACTAGTTAAAACTACCTAGCTAGAGATAAATTTAAAAAATATTAAATTATTTATTTTTATACTATTAGAGCAAGATACACTGCTTCCATGCGCGTGACGCTGGCAAACACATGTTTAAAATACAGCTAAAAAACCACATCAGTAATTGTAACACAATTTGCATACATTTTTAACCACAATTTCAACATTTTATATCCTCCTCACTTGTAAAATCCAAAATAAATTTGTGGATACCAGCATCACTCGCTTCTGTTTGTCTTTGTTATACATTAAACCTACAGATTAATGTTCTTAACTTTGGCTTGACAGTAAAAAAGTTAATTTTTTTTTTATGAACTTGCCCATCCTTGTCTGAACTTGATAAAAATATGCTGAAAATACTTTTGAAATCATAATTTTGGTTGTTTAATATAGATACATACTTGATCAATTAAAATATAAGAATTTAGAAGAAAAAATAAACCTCATAATTCTTAGCGACCACGGAATGAATACAGTAACATATGATAGAATGATATTTTTAGATGATTATGTATTCAATATGACATACAAATCTATTATTACAGGTCCAAATGCATTTATACTTCCAAATATAGGTAAATAATTTAAAACTATGGTCCTTTACTCGTCTAATTTCGAATTATTACGTTATTACACACTAATACTATATAATTTTCAGGTAAATTTGACGAAGTTTATACGAATCTTTCAATCGGAGCCAATACATCAAAAACATTTGACGTATTTAAAAAATATGAATTACCTGACCGTTGGCATATGAAAAATAATCCTAGGTTGAACGGGATCATTTATTTGTTGGCAAAACCCAATTACGCGTTTTGGTATAGTTTTTATCAAACGATTTTGGATAAGACAAGTTAGTTTACATCACACAATTTACATTTCAGCCTGTCTCAGTAAACAATCACAGCAGTATCAAAAGATCATCATATATTTACCTAATCCTATTCAATAATTACATATTATGAAAAATTTTAAACATACCAAAATAGATATAGATACTAATAAATAGCTGTATAGCCATATAGTTACCTGCAAAATGTATACTCTTTTAAGTTAACCAAATTCCTGATAAAAATTACCAATGACATTTTTTTGGTAATATACAAAAGTAAAAGTATATTTTAAAAACCAAAAGTTATAGAAACGTAATTACGTATACTTACTACTTTATTTTAAGATTATTATCTTATGCTATATTATTATTTATTTGCTTTATAGTTTACGATAATCAATCGGAGTTACACTATTAATCGATTAGATGCTTTTGTTTGAGATCCAACGATCAATACAACTTCTTCAAAATATTAAAAAAGGAAAGACAGCTATACCAGTCTCTTAAAACTAAATTAGATTTTGACGAAAGTTTAGAATGTTTGGTGACTATCGGCTGGACGTAAACCATTGGTTGGGGCGGAGTGTATGAATACGCTATCTTTAACTAGTAGAGGCCACATTTTCTATTTTGTTTTAGGCCTCAAAAATTCTAAATCAGGTCCTGACTGAAAACTAAAAAGTCAACTACTTTCACTTCTATTTATTATATTATATTATATTATAGATACATTGAAGCATAAATCTACAATGCTATACTTATATAAGCTTTTCATTGTAATTATATAAATTGTATATTTAATATGTTACTCACTTTACTACATATATAAAATATAAATCATCTGCAACATTATTAAATTCATATCTTAGATGTGAGAATTATATGATACAGTCACTTTGATAACACGACTAAGTTGGTTATCTAGTATCTAGTATCATTATTATATACTTGAAGTACCTATAAGTACATCAGTTTACACCAAACATTTTTTCTTAAATGTTGGTCATCTTTTTGCAGCCAAGGAAATGTTTAGAGCAGGGACCCACGGATATGACAACAACGACCCTCTGATGCACGCTCTTTTCATGGTTTCGGGACCGATGTTCAAGAAAAACTTCACTGCACAGCCATTTGACAACGTGGACCTGTACCCACTGATTAGTCACCTGTTGGCACTAGATGAGGCGGCCAAATACGTGCGGCCCGTGAATGGGACGATAGCCGGCGTCGAACAACTACTTCTGTCACCTAAGTCATCCAGCGCCAGCACGTCGTCGTCGCCATCACCGCACGTCCTAGCTGGCATAATAGCGACCTTCATTGACGCTTTGAAAAAGTTCCAGTAACCACAATCGAATACCCGATCCGTTTTTCTGATGTTTAATAATATAAGTACCATATTATAATACTCTATATACCAGTCTGTCTTATTTTGCAACCGCACTTACATCACAATTCGCCTCTGACATGTTCGTGTATAAGCCAAGATTTTAACCGTTTACTACCAAAAGTATATCCGTCTAAGTCTTAAGATATTGATATTGTTAAAAATTATTATTGATATTGTAAAACACGTAAAAAATGTATTGAATGCACTGTGGAAGAATTGTAGATGGATTTTTCGTGAATTTATTATTGTAATATATTTTATAGACGTTCCCTTTAAATTAATTAATACGATTATGCCAAATTATAATGAGTGTTCTAGATAATAAGTACATATATTTTACTATTTTGATTTTTTTCAAAGTTATAGTACTAAACGGGAGTATGATATAATTAACAATGGTAACGTGGGACTAACTGGGAAGTTACTGGTCTTAACAAAACTGTTGTGTTACTTGCGGCTATAAAGTGGCAACAATAAAGTCAATAAAGTGATATTTGTTACACAAAATCTAGTAACGACTATCAATTGCGATGTTACTATTACAAAAAAAGTGTTGTTATCTAAATGTAGTATTGTCGATCAAACCAAATAATAGTTTAAACTAGTGAATACTTTGTAGTTGATAAAAATAAAAGTTGTAAAATTAAATACCGATAAACCTGATCAAATTCCTTGTAGCATTTAATAAATGTATGAAGAATGATTCAAAAAAATCTAAACATTGTATAATGACAGTTTTTAATAGATATTTGAAGTTCAAATTTGATTTGAGAATAACTAATGAGCTTACAAATTACCTATAATAATAATATTCAGTACAATGAATAATACGTAGTTATAAGTAGCTACCACATAAATGCACTAAAGACTAAACTGTTTTAAAAAATATTTATTTATTATTTATTGTTATTTTAATAACAATGTTGCTATACATTATAAGAAAAATAAACTATAACTATAATATTATTTCAATCTCAGTTGCTAAAAAATTGCATTCAGATGTTATAAACATTATGATATATACTAATTACATCTAACTTAATCAAACCCTGAGTCTTAAATAGATTATAAAGGTATTAAGATAACAAAAAACGCGGTATTTTTACATTTATCGCTTGCGCCTGAATAGCAAGATTCGCTTCATAAGTGTATTAAATATATATATTAAACATTTATTACAGCTTATGATTTTGTGAGACACCGGAAAAATGAACCCACAACAGTGCTGTGCCTAAATAGCCTATCCAAAACGCCGTGTGATCACATTTTTATTAATGTATGAAATATATGATAATAATAATAATGGGACCTGGTGTAGTTCGATGATTGGCCTCAGTCATTACCGTGTTCTAAGATGAAGCATAGGTTGACGTCGCTAGTTTCCAGATGAGGCCAACCAGGTTTTCAGTGATGAATCCTAGCCCCACATACAAGTGTTCCTTAACCAACCGTAACCCTCCTACAAAAATGCTAATGGTCATAGTTGCCAATGCTCAAGATCAATAACAAAAAAATAATAATAATAATAGCATACTACTCTTTAGCAGTATAAAATTAACTGTTATCAAAAAGCGAACATCACACCAGATAACCGGGTACTTAGAATTTTTGTTTGTACTGGTTAGAGCCTTAATATACATTAAATGAAGCCTATTATCTAATGTAAGTTTTCTAAATTTAATTTATATAAATTTAGATCAAATTGATTGTTAAAAAGTTGCTATTACTATTTCTAAAAATAAACATACATAATTTTGAACTAACAATTAATATTTGAACTTGTGTTAGTGTAAGTAAAATTAAGAAATATTTAATAACATTGGTGGTACTTATAACATGTTAATTAATTTAATAATATTAAATAAATTTAAATAGGTACTTTTTGTGGCACCTAATATTAAACAATTGAAGAAACGACTACTACTATTATATTATATTTACTTTTAAAAATAAGGCTTCTAAATCTTTTTATTTAGTTATTTACATAAAAAGTTATAAATTAGATAACAAATTAATTACCACAGTATTGTGACACTGTGCAGTAATTAAATTAAAATTGTACCGTAAAAATAATTAAGCTGTTTCTAGCAACTAAATATCCATAATAGAAAACATATTGTTGAAATGTATATAATATCTAGATATTGTCTTATACCAAATAAATTAATTGTAGATACAATGAGTGAATCATAAAAACTGACGTTGAAGTTGTGTAATGATGTACTTTGGATGAAAATGTCTGTATCAAGTTATAATAAATTACACTCACTAATTTCTAATTATATAGCAAGAAGTAATGCCATATTTTTGTATCAAACAGGAAGAGTTTAAGTTTTACAACGATAAATTGTTGCTTTTTAGGACTACATAAAAAGTGCACAAATGTTTTTATAAATTTCTTTCGTTTAAAAATTTGATGAATTGGGCTCTTTGAATATGTTCATGGTGTAAAAACAACTAAGAAAGTCTCTATAATATTTGGAATATACCTACTATGTATAAAATATATTTTTAGCCATCGAATAATGTGTTAGTTAAATCATGAAGCTATTATACCATAATGGCAGAATACTTACATTAATTTAATAATTTTAATACGAAAAGTATAATATAATAATTAACAACAAAGTGGTAAACACATATTTTATATTATAAGAAAAATAATTTATAAATTAATATTACTTTAAATTACACGTGTTTAATCGTATCACTGATAATTACTAAACGAAATAATATACATTGTTACTCTATATTAATTCTTCGATTTATATAATAGTATTATTATAACAATAAATATTAATAGTATTATTCGCAATTGATATCAACACATAACCCGTGGTCTAATTTTTCTCTTATTAAGTTTTATTTGTTTTTTTTCATTTATATTGGAAAAATATGTAAGTGACCCTTAGGCACAAATATTACTAAAACTGGAAGTGCATATTATCATATTATATTTAAAGTGGAAAAAGAGGAGGCAACCATTTGTGAAACTTTCAATTTTTTAATATTATTGTTACAGTAAGAGGTCATTAATTTGTCACCTACAAGTGCCTTCTAAAAGAATTTCATAAAACTTATAAATTTATAAATAATTTTTTGAAAGGATGAAATTCTTCAAAAATGTTTTAAAATCTCTTATAGATACTACATTGTGCAGGAATAGCTACTCAGCTTACATGGAATCTTTGATTATGGAATCAAATATAGGTGTATACGTTGTTGGTTGATCGATATTGTTGACACGTGACTAGTAGGTTATCATTAAAATTCGAGCTGGGGCTATCCGAGCAAGTAATTTTTTACTACCTAGCGACAATAAATATTAGGAAAAATTTTGTTAAAAAGTGAACATTTACTAGCATTTATCCATTTTAAAATATTACACCATATAGTTTACTATATGTATGGTAAAACACATGTCATTCAAAATAAAATAAATGCTCAATTATTTGTCTCATGTTTGAATTAATTTCCTAAAAATTATTACAAAATATTAATAGTCGAAAGTCGATACATTATACATAATCGATATATGTATATAAACGAATATAGTATAAAAAATGTGTATTGGTTAAACATGTAACGACCATAGATATGTAGAACAACTAGATAGTGGACTGCATATTACATTTCTACTGCAGGAACGTTGAACGCAGTCGTGCGGCCATATGTCAACAGGGTAATGTTTACAAAATAACTCAATAGATAAGATCCCTATACATATTTATTTGATATATATATATTACGAATATGTGTATGTAAACAACCTTGCAATTTTGCCCTGTTGGCATATAGCTGCCGACTTCAATAGTATCATGTAGTTAGCTATCTAGTTGTCCTATAATTTTAAAATATCCATGACAACATTTTACAGTAAATTATAATATAATTAGACCTTATTTAAATTATATTTTGATTTATTTAGGATTCGACTTACCTGCGTGTAATGATAAACACGGGATACAGAAACAGAGTTTTTACTTTGGTGTTACATCTAATAAAAGCAACCTGTATACAACTAGTTTCTTGCTCTTATATATACATCTATATAAATACGTAATATATATCAATACTGTTAATGTTGTCAAGTTCCTGTAATTTTAGTTTGAAACGTTTTCTTGAACTAATTTTCTATGAGCATTTATCAAAGTTCCATTTACAATCTACATAATAAATCATCACACAATATAATGCGGTCATACTTCAACTGGATCCTCACAAATTTTATATTTATCTAGAGTTTGTTAAAATTTACATTTTATCTAAACTTCATTTACAAAATTCGTATGTGAACATAATATAATTTATGATACACGATAACAATATTTAGAAAACATTGATTAAATGAATCTAGGTAAACTATAATGAGTCTATTATATAACAAAAGATAACAATTCGTAAATCGAATTGTCGTTTCTGAAAATAAACAATACATCGATAACCTTTTTGTAATGTAATATGTAATTTTAATATATTAAATATATTATACCCACAGTTCTAACTTCTATAATAACTATACAATCGAATATTAAAAATATGTAATGTTTAGTGTAGTGATCAACACATAATTTATTGATGTCAAATTATTATATTGTATACTTAATTTACTTTATGTAAATTAATTTACAATAATATATTATAATACAGTGAAAACTCCCCTAACAAACATCTCCCAATAGTGGACGTTTTTCTTGGGAACCAACTACAAACTTTCTACAATCTGAACCCTCTGAATGACGGACAACATTTCAGTGATCAAAGAGTATTGTTTAAAGGTTTCACTGTATGCACATATTAAATGTTCTTGTGCAAACAGTTGAAAATATTATACCTACAATTATTTAGCAAAAAAAATCAAACACTTCCAATATCTGAGTATACTGTATGTTTGTAAATTTTTAGGCATAAGTTATTATGTTTTAATTTGAATTTGAATATAAAGAAAATCTAAAT